CTGGGGTGAGCCCAATACTTGCATTGAGAGAGAATTAGAGCCCTGGGGACAGGGGTTCCTATTCTTTCCGGAACAAGGCCTTGATCCTGGAAAGGCTTATGCAGAATGACCTAGGACAGCTTGTGTAGCAAGTTTAGCAGATTATGTCCCCCTCTAGTGGCTGGTCTACTAGAGGATAACAGTCTACTACTGCTAGTGGCTAATGGAGTTACTCCTCTAGCTCAGGTGGTAGAGGCCTGTGCTGCAGCAGTAAAGCTGACGAGCTGTGGGGCAGGGGGCGAGGCTTGCGCCCGTTTCCATGACACAGAAGCTGGTGCGCTCCTTGATCCCAGGAGGCGTCACTTTGTTATCATCAGGAGTCACGGGCAGCACGGACACACCTGGGTCTGGTTCTGCGTAGCCCCATTGCTTTAGTCACCAGCACCAAACCCAGACATAGAACTGAAACCAAACCGGGCGGGGGGGGGTGATGGTCACTTGATCCTGTCTGATCGTTTCAGAAGGGAATGGTCGGCTGCTGAATCCCTAGCTTTAGTGCCCCCACTGTCTGCAGGCTTGGGATTTCCTGTCACTCCGGGTGATGACTACATCGTTCCAGCCTCTCTGATTAGGCTCCAGGGGTCTCCGAGGATGATAGGGCCGGGCCGTTACCTCCATTGCACAGAGAGACTAAGTGGCTCACCTGAGGTCACGCAGGAAGTCCGTGGCGGAGCAGGGAACTGATCACGGGTCTCCCATAGGAGTAACCCCAACCACTAGACTATCCTTCTTCCTTAATACCATAACAATTGCCAGACCAGACCAATGCAGAGATCCCTCAAGCACCTGAGCTCCCATTTTTGTCGACTGTAGCTTTGCTTCTCACTCCTGGCAGGGGGCTCCTTGCGAAGGCAGGAGACTCGCTTGTATTATTAGTGGCTTTTTGAACTACACCCCGACCGCCTGTCTGTACGTGCTGGCACCCATCCCTCCACCAGAGCTTCAGCAAGATGCCGTTGCTCTTAAGTCTGCTTGGAGAACTGCGACAGATGAACCTAACCTATTATCTATGCCCCATTCTCAGACAGGGAACATCTCCGGTGCCTGCTCGCATTCAGGGCAGGAATTCCGTTCCTGTGGTCTGGGGTGTGACACCCCGGCTCATCTCTCGACAGCCTTTGCTCCGGTCGCTCACGCGCTCTTGGACAAGAGTGCTACGGCCCTTTTCCGTGCATGGGTGATCGGTGCTGCCCGAGTGGAAGCATGGGGGAGAACGAGTCGAACACAGCAAATAAATTCTGGAGTCCGTTGTTGCACCTGGCTTCTAGTCCACTGGCTCATGGTTCCTGGGTCAGGCTCAACAGGCTACTCTGTGGCTTGACCAGAGTTTTACAGCTGTGCACCGGCTTGGCCTGCTTTCCTCCCCACACTGTGATGGCAGGGCAGCATCGCACAGACAGTAACTTGTGGTGGAAGAGTGCCCAGTCCAACATCTGCAGGGCATTCTGCACTGCCTCGCTACCCTAGGTCCAGAGACTATCCTCTGGTTACAGAACCCAGCGTCTGCATAGGAGAGAATCTAGTCCTGTACCCCATGCTTCAGTGGAAAGTGGGGAAACCTCAGTCTTGGAAAGTTATGTCCATATGGATCAGGGCCAGCTCCAGGTTTTCTGCCGCCCCAAGCGGCGGGGGAAAAAAAAAAGCCGATCGGCAGCTCAATCGCGTCGCTCCATTCTTCGGCGGCAGTTCGGCGGCGGGTCCTTCACTGCCTGTCTTCCTCTTTGGTGGCACTTCGGCGGCAGCTCAAAGAAGAAGAGAGGGACTGAGGGACCTGCCACCAAATTCCCACCAAAGACCCGGAAGTGCCGCCCCTTTGTATTGGCCACCCCAAGCACCTGCTTCCTTAGCTGGTGCCTGGAGCCCGCCCTGGTATGGATGCATATGTATTTCTTCCTAAACCCAGGCACTAAGTGGTTGGTTTTCTCATGAAACATGAGGGTTGATATTCCTGTTCGGAGTTTATCCTGTTTACTTAGTTACTACTTTACTTTTGGCCGACTCCCAGCAGAAGTCCTTAACCAACACAACATTCATCCCTCCACCAAATTGAAGATCTACAACACAGTGGTCCTGACATCTCTCCTGTACAGTTCTGAGACACGGAGTCTTTATAGACATCACATTAAACAGCTTGAGCAATTTCACATGCGCTCCCTCCGCTCAATAATGCGCATTCACTGGCAGGACAGAGTGACCAATATTAAGGTCCTTGAAAGAGCAAACACAACCTGCATTGAGGAAATGCTACTGAGAGCACAACTCAGATGGACCAGTCATGTCATCAGAATGGAAGACCATTGCCTCCCAAAACAGATCATCGAATATCAGGATTGGAAGGGACCTCAGGAGATCATCTAGTCCAACCCCCTGCTCAAAGCAGGATCAACACCAACTAAATCCTCCCAGATCTTGTATGGGGAGCTGAGGCAGGACAAAAGAAAGAAGGGACATCTGTATAAGCACTTCAAAGATAACTTGAAGAGCAGTCTCCAGTTGGCTGGCATCAATCCCAAAGAATTCGAGCAAATGGCTCAGAACAGGACTCACTGGCGGTCTCTGATAAGATCAGAGGTTCTAGACGACCAACAAAATCGTCTCCAAGCTGCATGTGAAAGGTGCCACAGAGCTGCATCATCAAACATCATGGCCAGGGACTTCCCATGCCCTCCCTGCGGCCGACTCTGCACATCAGGGTTCAGACTTTAGAGTCATATGTGTAGTCATAGATGAGAATTGTGGCAATATTGTCCCCATTGTAAGCAATGGACGACTACTACTACTTACTTATAATACAGTAGTGCCCAGAAGTCACAGTCACATCTACTGTGCATGGAGCTGTACAAACATGAAATAAGCTAGTCGCTGGGTTTACAGGCAAAGTCCCACAATCCTGCTGTGGGTGGACCACAGAGCCCCTTGCAAGACTGGGACCTGAGTCCTTGGAGTATTTTGAAGCTATTAACTTGCCTATGTCTAAAGCCTTTCTTTTAAATCCTTTTAAGCTGGCTTCTTTAACAAGCAGTGAGTTCCACTGGCTAATTGTGAATTTTAATGTTGTTTTTTTTAAAGTAGAGGGATTAAAAAAACAACAACCCAGCAACCCTCCACACACGATCGGAAAAGAGAGGACAGACGCTATCCCCGACTAGCGCAGGCTCAAAACGTAATCCCTGCCTCCTGTTGCTGTTTCTAGGACTGCTGCAGGCTGGCTCGCCTGGTTTATTCAATTGCCGAGCCGCACCAGCGAATGATAAAACTCCCCCGTTACAGGCGCTGCCAGGCTTTTTACATGACCGGTTTCAGAGTAGCAGCCGTATCTGCAAAAAGAACAGGAGGACTCGTGGCACCTTAGAGACGAACAAATTTATTTGAGCATAAGCTTTCGTGGGCTACAGCCCACTTCATCAGATGCATAGAATGGAACATAGTAAGAAGATCTATATACATGCAGAGAACATGAAAAAATGGAAGTAGACATACCAACTGTAAGAGGCCAATTAATTAAGATGAGCTATTCGCAGCAAAAAAAAATCTTTTGTAGTGATAATCAAGATGGCCCATTTTAGACAATGTGAGGATACTTAACGTGGGGAAATAGATTCAATTTGTGTAATGACCCAGCCACTCCCAGTCTCTATTCAAACCCAAGTTAATGGTATCTAGTTTGCATATTAATTCAAGCTCAGCAGGTTCTCCTTGGAGTCTGTTTTTGAAGCTTTTCTGTTGCAAAATTGCCACCTTTAAGTCTGTTACTGAGTGACCAGGGAGGTTGAAGTGTTCTCCTACTGGTTTTTGAATGTTACGATTCCTGATGTCAGATTTGTGTCCATTTATTCTTTTGCGTAGAGACTGTCCGGTTTGGCCAATGTATATGGCAGAGGGGCATTGCTGGCACATGATGGCATATATCACATTGGTAGATGTGCAGGTGAAGGAGCCCCTGATGGCGTGGCTAATGTGGTTAGGACCTATGATGGTGTCCCTTGAATAGATATGTGGACAGAGTTGGCATCGGGCTTTGTTGCAAGGATAGGTTAACGTCAGTTTTATCAGCCCTGCGCCATGTGGGGGACAAGTTTCATCCCTGCTTCGCAGGAAAGCTGGCCGCGCATGGCCCTGGGCGCTGCCTGCAGCCCGGCTGGGGCTGAAGGGGAAGCCCAGGCCCTGAGGAGGCAGCACCCCCCCCCCCCCCCCAGGGACCTCTGAGCTCCCAGCGGCGCTGGCCCCAGACTCGTTCCAAGCGCACGCCCCGCGCCCTCTCCACGCTTGGCCACCGGGTAGCGCTGTGCGCCTCTCCGTCTCCCCGCCTCCCCCGGCTGAGGCTGCCCCCACTGCTCGCGGCTCTGCTGCTACCAGAGCTTCGGCTCAGTCCGCTGCCAGCGCACGGAGCGGCGGCACCCGCCGGAGAACCGAGGGGAAGGGCGAGCGAGCCGGAGAGGCGGGAGCCGGGCAGCAGCGCACCCCAGGCGGCGGCGGGCACAGCCGGAGCGCGCCCGCCTCCCCACCTTGCCTCGCCGCCCTCGGGCACCTTTCGGGGCTCCGGGAGCGCGGGTGGCAGGAGGAAAAGCCCGAAGCCACCGGCCATGGGGATCGCTCCGCTAGCGGGCTAAGGAGGGGGGAAGGGGGAGCGCCCCCCTCCCCCAGTCGGATCCCAGCCCCCTCCCCCCCCAAAAAAACTTTTCTGGCTGGATGCGGAGCGCGGATTTCGCCACGAGTGGATAAAACTGCCGCGTGTCAGCGGTGGGGGGCTCCCCACGCCCCGGGGCTTTGCCATCTTGGGGCGCCCTGCGAAGCGGGGGCTGGGCGCGGGGGGACCTTGTGCTCCCCCCGTTGGAGCAATCGGGGGATCCCCGCGGTGCCGAGCCCCGGGCCGAGGCGGGACCTCGTGCGGACAAGTCAAGGCAGGGCTACGTGTCCAGACCCCCCCCCCCCCCCACACACACCCGCCTCGGGAACTGGGAGCGGAGCCTTTTCTCGCCCGGTGGTTGGGCGGCGCCGGCTGCCGGCTGAGGACAGCGCGGATGGGCCGTTTCCCTTAAGATCGCCCCCTTCCCCGGGGGTCGGCGGCTGGTTTTCGGGGCGCCCCAGGAGCCTGCCTGCCGCAGCCAGCGAGACTTTGCACGGGCGGGAGGAGCAGCCCGAGCCGGCGGCGCGGACCGGGGAAAGGATTATAAAAGTCGGGGAAAGTTCCCTTCCCGGCCCCCCCCCGCGGACCATGGCAGGGGGCGGTCGCTGGCAGCCCCTGTTGTGCATCCTCCTCGCTCTCCAGGGGACCCCCGGCGCCGGGGCTCAAGGTAAAGCGGAGGGGGCCCGACCCTGGGGGTGGGGAGGAGAGGGGGCCCTTTCCAGACCTGCCCCCACTGGGCATGGAGCGGCCTGGGAGCGCTCAGGAAACCCGAGCCCTGCTTTTGCATGGTTCATTATTTTTAATTGTGGGATTGACTTTGATGCTACCGAAAGCTCAAGAGACGCGCAGCCCCCCCCCCCGTGCTCAGCCGCTCTGTGGAGGTGTCTCTTTTATGTGCTGATTGAATCTCTGGGGATGTCCCCTCCCCGTGCCCCTTTCCCCAGGCGTTTGAGTTTCTTGTCCAGGCAGGGTTTGGTCCCGGGGCTTGTTTTAAACAATGTTCTGCGTTGATTCTGGAAGGAGGAGGGGACCTCGCCTGGCTGATGGAGAGGAGGAGCGACCGGTTATGGAAAGTTGTGTCTGCATGATGGAGACTGTGGGTATAAATCAAGAGCTCAGAGGGAAGGGAAAGGAGACATGGGGGGGCCGGCTGCAGAGTCCTGGGACTGGAGCCACAAAGATTTGGAAAAGAGAAAAGAGAGAATTTTTAAAAAAAAACCTGAAACCCAACTTGAATATAAAGGCCCCAGGTGGGGGTGGCGTGGGGGAGACGCATCTTTCTGCCCGGCTCAGAGCTAGCCAGCCAGGTTGTGACTAACCGTCAAAAAATGAAATCCCGGTGCAACGTTTGTAATGTTGAGCCGAGGAGCCCTTTCCAGACAGGAGGTTGTGCCCCGCAGAGCCCTGGGTTTGCTCTCTTGGGCCTGGTCAAAGGTGTTGGGGGTTTTTTAAATTTGAGTGTGTAGGGTGGAATCGAGTGTGCTTGGGGCTCCTGCAGACAGCTGAGAGGAAGCAAGAGAGCAGAATAGGGCAACGTGTGAAACCTGTGATTTCTCTCTCCTTATTCCTCCTGTCCCCCAAAATCTTGGTGTTATTTAGGAGTTAAGTGTGCCTGCTGGGGAGGAGTTGTATGTTAATGTGTATACTCTGTGTGTATATATATCTATAGATAATGATTTCTGATGTATGCTGGTCTTTAATGGTTTAAACAAACTGGCTTTGTACTGGAAACTGTGACCTCCATCTCCCTAGGTCCTCCAATCTGTTGCCTGAAGATAAGGTTTCTAGCTGGTTACAGGTGGGCGTGTTGTTAATAGCGGTAGCAGCAGGAGCAAGGCAAAGCTTGTCCATATGATGGCTTTGGGGGGGTATGAAACCCTGCCCTACGCACACTTTTCCAGAGCTTGCCTCGCGTGGCTGGCTTCCTTAGTTGATTGCTTACATGCCATGCAGAGTAGATGCGCACTGGCCGTTTCCCCAGGCTGCAGACCCTTCTATCTGGTTCCAGTCACATGAAATGGTTAGCTGTGTGAAATCAGCGAACTGTATGGGGATGTGGAGATGTATCTGTAGAAAAGTGTTGATTTGCGAAGCCCTGTTTACGCCAGCCATGACCTGAAAAGCAGGCTCCTGGTCGGATGTCGTGGCTGGAATCAGAAAGTTGGGCATTCCAGGGGGCTACACGCTTGGAGAAAAAGCCACTCGAAAAAGGCACCTTTGAATATTTGATTGTCTGATGTGGAACTGAAGAAGTCCCTTGCCGTGCACTAAGGAAGGTGGTTGCCTCTCTCCCTCCCCAGAGCTCACCCCTTGGAAAGTTTCAGAAGCTCTTTTGGAAAGGGATCGGATATTTGGTTAGCTATCCAAACAGCTGCTTGAAATGACTGGGAGCCGCTTTACATTGTGTGTATCTCTCCCAAGCACCTTACTCTCTCTCTCTTCCTATCTCAAGACCTGCCAAGATAACAATACAGCCAGGAGAGATTTACATTCAGGAGACAGGAGAATGTGGCCAACTGAACCCTGGAAGCTTATTACGGTTCCTTTAGGTAGGGGGTGAAAGGAGGGGGGGGACCCCCGACAACCCAACTTTATTCTTTTCTTCCAAGGTCTGGGGAGAACTGGCAGCTCCTGATAGCAGAGTCTTGTTCAGAGAGAAGCAGCGGCGCAGGCAGAGCTGAAACGGTAGCCCTAGCAGGCACAGACAGTTAGGCAGGCTGAATCTTAATGGAAACCGTATAGGGGCAGGAAGGGAGGCATCGGGCGAGGGAAGGCAGAGCTATAAATACCTATAATGGGGAAGGTGGGTTGTGCAGTAAAATGCTACATCAGCTTGCTGGGTAGGTGGATGGCAACTGCCTTTGTTGCATCCTATTCCCGCTCTTGAATTCCTGTGTCCGTGCTATGAGGCTTCTGCTAAGATTAACCATCTGTGCATACTGGGATTAGACGGGGTGACCGCCCTGGAATGCATTTCCACCCCTTGCTTCGAGAGGCCCCGTTCGGAGGCTGGGGGCTTGAGCTTGCCACCGGTTGCTGAGAAGCCGCACGCTTGTGGTGTTAAAAGGCTAGCCTGCGATCTGTGTTCCTACACTGTCCGTCCGTCCACCCCCCCCCGCTCTCCCCTCCCCCGGGCTGGAGTTGTACCCCGTTGAGCTGCAGTAATGTAAGTAAATTAGAGCTGCAGTTTAAAGGGGATTCGAGGCAATGCTCCGTGAGCTAATACTAGGGGCAGCGCCAGCCCCTCTGATAAGCTAATCGCCTCCAGGATGCTTATGTGTTGTGGAGCCTATTTTCAGCTGCCTCGGTTATCTGAACGGGCTGTATAAATAGTTGTCTGGTTCTCCAAGGTACAGTGCGAGTTCACGAGCGCGGAGCAATGCCAGCCCCTGGACGCTGGGAAGGCCAGGCTGAAGGGAAAGGGGGCTTTCGCTGGCAGAGCCCTTTTGTCCTTTCATTAATTAGGACTTTGAGGAAGTACAGAATCTCCTTGCTCAACAGCCACGTTAGGTTGCGAAGAATCCAGGGGTTACGCTGCTAACTCTGGGGTTCATCTCCTGCCTAGGCATGCTGGATTTGCATGGCATCTTCTGGGCTGCCTGCATCCCAGTAACAGTTAGGGAGTCTCTCTCTCTGCAGGTGCAAGGGGGATGTCGTATGATTTCAGCCCAGGCTTCAAAGGAGGGGGAGAATCTATAGGCAGAGTGTGCTATGGGATGGCTGGTCCGGGCGGTGGGAGCTGCCCAGGAGAACCCCTTGCGCCAGCAACTGAGAGATTGTGGGACTTGAGCTAGATAGGGAGGGATAGAAAGGAGGAGGGTGTCTGATGTACGCAGTTGTACATCCATGGAAGGTACATGGGATGCACACGTGTGTTAAAGCATCTTGATCATGTAACAGATTTGCCTGAGATCTTGTATTACTGCTTGACTCTAAACAGCTCTGTAGCCACACTTAGCATCCCCCAGGTCCGGGGTAGGCAACCTATGGCACGCGTGCCGAAGGCGGCACACGAGCTGATTTTCAGTGGCACTCACACTGCCAGGGTCCTGGCCACCGGTCCGGGGGGCTCTGCATTTTAATTTAATTTTAAATAAAGTTTCTTAAACATTTTAAAAACCTTATTTACTTTACATACAATAGTTTAGTTATATATTATAGACTTATAGAAAGAGACCTTCTAAAAACGTTAAAATATATTACTGGCACGCGAAACCTTAAATCAGAGTGAATAAATGAAGACTCGGCACATCACTTCTGAAACGTTGCCGACCCCTGCCCCAGGTTATGGGTGTGCTGGGTGTGATCAGACAGATTGGGGAATCTCTGACAAGGGGAGGTCGCTTGCACTGGATCCGGCCTGTAGAAGGGGATGCGGGTGGGTAAGGAGGCCTCTGAACCCCTCCCTGAGACAGGCAGTATTCCAGGGCTATAATATACTCTCCCTCTAAATTTATAGCCATCGTTTTCAGCAGCAAATGGAGCCAAAGCCCTCTCTGCCCCTGGCTTCAAACTCCCCATCCACTGCCTCTCCTTAGCACCGGCGCTATAATTTCTCAGTAATTAAGTTCAGAACATAACATATAAACTGGCAGTATATTATACAGGCAGTCCCTGTGTCAGAAGCTGTGAAGGTCTCTTTGATTGATTCACTCTCTCTCTGAGTTTCTCATCTCCGTGTCTTTGAATCTCTGTCTTCCAGGTTCCCTACTGCTGCGTTTGTTCTTTGCCTTTGGAACTATTTCCTGGCATTATGAACTTGCCTCCTGTTTATTTTAAGGGCTCTGGGGGGTTCCTCTGTACAGAGCGTGACGTTGGGTTTAGGTGCATAGTTTTGCCTTGTTTAAACGGGTCTGGGTCAAAAGTGGTGATGGGGGTTTGCTTGTTTGTTTGGTTTTCCCCTTTCCCCCCCCAAACCTATTGTTTAATGAATTGAACTTTTCATATTTAATTCCGGGGACGAGTTGGTATAAATACGTGTGAGCTTCAGTAAATAGAACAATTGGGGGAGGGATGGGAGAGAATTTGACTGTGAGGCTTAGACAGTCCTTATTTTTAAAATACTTCAGTAACCGTCCAAAATACCTGCGCTTCACCAGGGCAGCTGCCGGGTCATTGAGCTGTGACAGAGGAGAGCCTGGCCGTGTGGGGGAACGCTCGCTGTCTGCGGCACTGGCCTTTCTGCGCAGGGCTCTCTTGGGGCACTGGCCCTTTGCGACCGGGTTGGATTTTTACTAGCAGGTGGTTGGAGCTGGGTTAGTTGGGGCTTGCTCAGGGGTCTGGGTGTAGCGGTATCCCGATGCAGAGACTTGTTCCTTGCCATCTCCTTCGCGCTGTGAGCACAGGGTAACCTCACAGCATCCGTAGAGCAGTGGAGCGCTGCCAGGGATGAAAGCCACCTTACTCGCCCCAGAGGCCGGTAAAGAAGCCCAGGGCAATGCACTGGGAGTGTAGCTGGAAGAAGGGGAGAGGGAAGCCTGTTGGAGCAGACCCCCAAGCGGGCTTTGGGCCCCAGAGACTGCAACTGCAGCTCCAAGGTATGTACAGATTTCCAGTGGGGGCTGCTGGGAGGAGTCCTGCTGGAGCCAACATGGGCACGCTGCAGGCTAAGAGAGGCAGTGTAGGATCCAGGGGAGGTTGAGGTTGGGGAATGAAGCCACTAAAACC